GGAGCTCGGTTTCTTCACTTCCTGAAGCTTTAACTCTCTTAGCCCCGCGACCAACGGTGCTCCTATCGACTGCACAGCTTCCATACACAGCACACCAACGTTTATGAATGTTCACCACCGTTTCTTTTTCAGCAACAAGGAATTCAATTACAGCTCGTTGCTTGTACCGAGAGTCGTTCACAGACGCCATTTTAACAGTTCACTACAGCTCCGCTATCGGTTGGAATCATTTGAAACTCCGTACACGAACGCGGGAAACATCAAATCTCAAGCATGTAAAAGTACACTTTTCTATCTTCATTATTGGCTGAGAAAAAAAATGTGGGGCATTACTTAATGAGCGACCCTCGTATAATACAAAATGACTTGCATATCATCTTAATTTATGATAAAGGGAGGATTATACATAGCGTATTTTATATTGTGGATTCTATCATTTACTCCCTCGTTTAAACGTCGTTAATGTATCAGTGCCAATTTGTCTCCTGTATAATATTTGCTGAAGGCAACAGATGAGCGGTAAAATGTCAATGAGGTGTGTAAGAAGACTAAACCTGTTTTTGTATGTGCAGCCCTTTCAATCTTTCATGAAGTTCAAGTAGAACTCTTAGTTCCTACCAGAGAGCTCACAGATTCAATTCTTGACCAAGAGGCCATTTACTCTGTTGGAGGATACTTCTAGTTATCCTAAGCCTCTCAAGAAAAATTACACCACAATATGGTACCTTAAAACATGCAAATTAAATATCAATCTTTAAGTTTTTACCACTGGAACCAAATCATCATTGAAGGCCAATGACAGTGTGGAACAATTGGTGAACCTATGGAATCAGAGCAATCAGGAGTAGATACTTCATGCAAACAATTAAATCCTCCACGAAAAGTATGACAGCCTTTTCGAGCAGTCCCAGAGATGTCTCCACTCACATTGTACAGCTGAGCTAAAGCATATACTGTATCATAAAAGTGTAAGTAACTTCACAGCACAAAAAATGTGAACACGCTTGTCACAACTCAATTCTGATTGCAATAACTTGGGAAAATTTGGCTACTTTATCTGCTTTTATAACAAAGTATTGTAAGTGACAGGATGCAGTAATATTCTTCACCAGCAGCATCCAGTTTTAGAGCCTGCTGCAACAGTGTGTTGCTCATTACCTTTGTTCAGGTGAAAAATCTCTAAAGTGGATATTTCACAAATACTTGTTGTGCAGCATTTTTGCACTTTTCCTGTTCAAAATATAGAATTGTAAACGTATATCAAGCTGTATTACAAATAAACATCATCAATCGACATGACGTTCAAGAGTTAACAATTACAAACTCGGTAAAGGTGTGGGATTTTGAGGTTATATCAACGAATATAGTTAACGAAGACAAAGCTGAATTGAATTTCATTTTTAAATAAAAGTTTTCAATATCTAAATGTTATAGTAATAACCTATTTTAACGACTGTCAAACTCTTAACGGAACGTAGGATTAATAAGTTCTAGGCGTAACACTTTGTTTGATTTTTGTAACTATTTAATAGTGATGGAATTTAATATGGACGTACAACCTGATTCGTTCCTACAAGCGGGCATTAATATTGGTGGCATCCTTCGTTGAAGTAACTCAACTCGTTACAAATAGATGTCGGGAGGCTGAATATAATTGCGAAAATGAAATGGCCTACAACCTTTGAGGTTTTCACAGTGGGTGAGTATGAAGATTTCTGGCTTTTTGCGCTGTGTAGTCTAGTCGATGTTTACCAATGTTTCAGAGGTCATACTGTCTTCGTTATCAGGGCGATGAATGTGCCAATTGGACGTGTGGGCCTAAGTTTATAGGAGCGGGACCGTGGATGGAGTAGCCAGCCCCATGGTCCGGCACCTACAAACGTATTCCCACACATCCAATTGGCACATTCATCGCCCTGTTGACGGAGACATTATGACCTCTGAAACGTTGGTAAACATCGACCAGACTACACGGCGCAACAACCCAGAAGACAGAAATCTTCATACCAATCGCCCTGATGATGGAGGCAGTATGACCTCCGAAACGTTGGTAAACATCGACCAGACTACACGGCGCAACAACCCAGAAGACAGAAATCTTCATGAAATGGCCTGTCTCACAACAATACAAGCAGCTTTTGTTATGCTTGGCAATTGTTGTAAATCAACAACTATCGTTTCCATGGATTCACGTTGTCCGCAAGATAGAGTGAGAAGTGCAAGTTCAGTTTAATTTTTGTGGAATCGTAAATCGAACCTGCAATTATAGTGTGTGAATATAATGTGGAATGCAATATTCAGATGCTTCAGAAGGCCCTACTTGAAACGGGTGAGTAAAAGAAAAACAGCTATCGCCTGCAACAGAAAATGTAGTAGAATTCGTGGTTTATGTAAACCGCCCGTTTAAACAAAATCAAACTGGAAAGAGAGAAGGATACATGGTCAAATTTCGTAAAAGTTCAGAGGAGGACAAAATCCAGGAAAGGTATAATGGCTGTCTACATGCGATTGGGAAATTCATAGCATATGGGCAGTACTGCACTTTCTTGGAACAAATATGTTTGATAATTAGATAACTGATTCTTAGTATGCAGAGTTCTTAAGGGATGCTTCTCATGTTCCCCTAATAGAATACAATGCTGAAACATGAATTCAATATTATTAGGCAAATATTTTTAATCCCTTGTCGTTACAATTATTACTGTGTTTAGACTTGAATAAATTTCTTATTTTTATATTATGGGGAAGTTTTTTGAATTATTGCAACAAACGGCACATCTGCTTCGACAAAATTCAATTAACTGTACGCTTTCAGCTTAAGTCGAGAAGAATGAGATGGGCGGGGCATGTAGCGCGCATGGATGGGACAAGAGTTGTGCATCGGGTACTGGGTGGGAAGCCTGAGGGGAAGAGACCGCTGGGGAGACCTAGACGTAGATGGGAGGATAATCTCAGGCGGGATCTGTGGGAGATAGGAGTTGAAGGAGACTGGATTTTGTTGGCCCAGGACAGGGTCCGGTGGAGGGCTTTGGTTAATTCGGTGATGAACCTTCGGGTTCTGTAAGCCATCTAGTTAGTTAGGTAGTTATTTAGTACACGTTTAGCAGGACCAGACATGCTTGACTTGAATCGTTAAGTATTTAGCTGATAAGACAGGAGTCATGAAATGTTTACAGTATCTGCACGTGAGAGCAGGTTCTCCAGACGTGAAAATTACAGCTCTGTTCTTTGGACAACTGAGATATTTCCACTTTCTAAATGTTCTTCTCTGCTTCTGCAAAAGAGATATTTACTTCGTGTTGTAAACTCTGTTGATGAAGTTTCGTAAAACATTGAAAACAACAGACGATGCAATTATCGCACTCTATTTTTAAATAAATTGTAGTTAGGAAAATCTTCAATGGGCTTGTAGTGACAAAGAACAAACTAAGAAACAATTTCGCGGTCCTAGTTCCAAATTCTCTCGGGCTGGATGCTCCCAGCGAACTGGCAGTTTGACCACGCTGCTGTAGGCTGGCGGAGTCGAGGATACTCTTTTTCCGAAACGTCGTAATTTTAAAATAAAAATAAAGAAGTTCCTCTATACGCCATGTAGGCGTTTAGTGGGGAGGTTGTATAGCTCCAACTCATTCTTGACCTCGGCACTAGATGGGGGTGAGTGGTCAGCGCTTTACCCCCTGGAAAGGACCCCGGTACCCATTGTAGAGGAGGCTGGGTGGGCCCCAGAGCCGGTCTGGACGCAGAGGCTAGAGGAAAAATCCGCTGTCCCCCTCGGGGATCGAACCCCGGTCGTCCAGCCCGTAATCAGTCACTATACTGACTGATCTTCGCTTTTAAATAACATTTAAAATTGGCAAAGTCCACATTTATGTCACAGCAGCATCATAAATCTTAAATGTAATTAATATTCCATCTTTCGTCACTTTGTCCCTGTAAGTCTCAGCTGCTTAATGCCGAGGCAGTTAACGTAATTGCGAATAGGTGCAGAGCAGATGAAGACAGGAAACAGCTGGCAATCACGACTAGAAGCAAATACCAACCTAAGAAAATGAATTCGTGGAATGCTATGGTTTCCGAGTGTTTGTAGCTGGTTAACAGAATCTTCCATACGAACGATAAGATCAAAAAGACCATGGAGGCTGTCCTTTGTCTGTTCGGTCATTGCAAGAAGGCTTCTGGAGTTTGCGTGTTTACATATAACACAACTGTGAGACGATGTTGCTGTAATTCGATTTTCTGTTCTTTGTTTTCCAGAGCGCTGGCCACCCTGCGTCTTCGTTCACACGCGGCCAGGACAAGGCTCATAAAAAGTACGTGTACTGCCGGTCGCATTTAAGTAAGAAACTCTTGGCTTTAAATAGCACTTGAGATGCGTTGGTATTACTCAGTAGGATTTTGATAAGATAGCTGTCTTCTTGGTCGTAGCGCCGTCTAGTGTGGTAGATGTTGAGCTCTGAAACGTCGGGAAACTGCATGGTGCTGTGACCCAGAAGACAGAAATCTTCGTAACATTGCTCAGACAACTGATTCACTCACAGGCGAACTCAACTCGTCCTATATATATATATATATTAAAATATGTGGTTAAGAACTTTATGCAGGCCTGATAGTAAACTATTCAGCCTTTATTTAGTGTAGACAGAAGGGTGACATATAGTTTTACCCTTGCTATATCTCATTACCTCACGTTAGAATTCAATCCAACATTCACACAATTCTCCATAAAATACTTTTTGTTGCGCGAATTTAAGAACAATACAAAAATTTAGCTGCATTTCTTCCCTTATGACTTTGAATCCTACCTCAGTCATTCAAAGAAATAGAAGACCGTCCTCTAAGGACGCGCCAGTTGCCCCATTTGAAGAGGTCCGGTATCAACAACGCGACACTAGGTATGACGGAGCATGACATGAAATAAATTCGATAAAACCCTATTATAACGAGTGCAGCAAAGGCGATTGCTTTTATTCAAATCTAAGGTTATCCGACGTAATGTGTAATTATTATAAATGCACGTTCGCAAATCACACGGCAAATTACAAGAAACGTATTTAACAGATTATTATAATTTTTATTATTACATATTTCATTTTAAACGTTTATCTAGAAAATATTGATATATACGACACAAACAATGGATGAACGGTTTAAAAATATGGATATGTACGGGGTCAAATTATTACCTTAATTTAGGACGGAATCTTATTCCATAGATTTCATTATAATGTCTCTGAGATTTTTTTTTTGTTACACTTGGACACGAAATGTATCGCCATCTCTGGTTTCGCTGTTCTCAGAAACGTTTATTAATGTTTCCACACCTTAGTGGACTTTTGAATGTGTTTCGAGTGTTCTGGTCGCCGTCTTCGTCATGTAATACTGTGTCTATTATGTCGTCATCAGAAGGCACTCTAGATGTTATCTAAGCGACAGAGTTAACGAAATCTTCAATACCGGAAACATGTTTGAAGGTTTTTATTTCGCTCTGTTTCAGTCACACAGAAAACGGTTCTATTATTTTCAGAAACAAAAATTGGCCGGCGTTTTGAAAGAATTTTGTAACAAATCAGGACGAATGCATATAAAATCTGATCATTGTTCCTCCATAAAGTCATTACTGTAGACGATAAGTTGGATTCTTTACACACAGTACCATTAAGAACGTAAACAATTGAAAATGTTTAGTAAAGCAAAGAACTAAAAATATTTATTCCAGAGAAACCAGTTTCACTGATTATATTCCGGAAGCGTGCTTGTTATATAGCGAAGTACAAATGTTGTGATTTTAGTTAAATAAAATGTGACGTCATTTGCTCGTTATAGCCATTAACTCATTCGTTTTAACCGAGTTATAGTGTAAACGTTGTTAGTTACCTCATATCAGAAAACGTTTTGTTAACGTTGTCAGTGTTTGACAGTAATTGTCATTGTGAGTAACTTTCAGTCAAGACCTTAATTAATAATTTAAAAACAAGAAATGTTATGTCTCGTGTTGATTAACATGCGTATGAATAGGCATACATGTAAATCTCTTGAAGATGAATTAAGCAAAAGAAAAGGAAAACTATTGAGCAGTATGTCACCGTGTTTGCATTAGTACGCCTAATTTTGTAGCGTTTCATTATAAACTGCTATGACTGACCTCCCGGTTGTGTTCCACGATCGAGTTCTTTCTTTCAGTCACTGATGTCGTCAACATGGGAACGTAAATGGTGGTCCGGGACTGTTATTGTTATTTTATTTTATATTATAGTCAGAATTCTCATAATTCTTTGGTAAATTACACTAATTCGAAATATCAATCGTTTTAAACGGCAGTGAGTAATTTAAATCCAAAACTTAATGTACAATAAATGTCAAATTTCTTTTAGTCCTCGCCAAAGTTTATTGCAGTGAAAATTTCATATTGTTCTCATTGAAAGAGCTCACACGCTCAGGCGTCCTCTTCGGACTACGAAATATTTTTATAATATGAAATAAAACATTGGTATTGCTGTTATTTCAATCGGAGAGAGGCCAAACTTGGGAATTTGTTGGCATGTTACATGCAGAAACGGAAAATCGTTTGGAAAAGAGTGCGGTGGTTGCCACAATGACTGGAACGACAAACGTATGTGACCAGCGCTCTCATATAACACTATTTGTTTTTGGACTTGCTAAATCCAGTGATTTTTCAACTTTTATCGTGCAGTACCGTAACATTTTTAAATTAAAAATGGTTTTCTGTAAAATTGTCGAACATAACCCCACAGCATCACTATCTGTGAGCGCTTGCGAGAAAGAAGGACTTTATAATTGTGTAAGTTCTGGGTATTTGGAAGGGCATTTAAGAAGCTGAAACTTCGGTATAGACCACAAGCCAAGTATGACAGTAACATTTATGTTTTCTGAAATAATTATGCCTTCTCTGCTACACTTTTCGTTACAGTGTAACACTTTTTATCAGTAGCTAGTGCCCGGTACTGTCTTTGAGTCTTCCATAAAGCCCAAAGTTTATCTCATCTGTTATTATTTTCCATTCATCAAATAAAGGTTGTGTAGGTGATAACAGAAGTGGGTTAAGAGAACACTTCAGCACTTCTACACAACAGAACGCAAATGTAGTAAAATTAAAATCCCTGTATGAAATATATTTAAACAGGCTGATTTGAGAGTGTCAGGGCACATTGAATTTAAATTATGTGGAAGTGTGTTAGGAACTGTCTACTAAACACATTATTTTTATTTTATTTATAGGTGTGTGTAAATATTATGCTGCAATCATAATATTGCTCCTGTTTTTGGAATTGTCTCTCAAGGCGGTGACAGCTCTTGAGACAAAACTAGAGGCTACATCGAACAGTACCACACACAGCTTGGAACCAAATCTTCGCTATCGGCAGCGTGGGACTGAAGAACATACTAGGGACTCATGCATAGGTGGAAATAAATGTGAATACCGTGGTTTTTGTAAGGAGATTGTTGATGCCTATGTATGTGAATGTTATGAAAGGTTCTATAAGCAAGTAGGAGATCGCTGTAAAGATGAAACAAACCACTGTGAGAGCAACCCCTGTGTGAATGGTGGCACCTGTGAACCAATATGGGGAAACTACTTCTGCACTTGCGATACACAGTATCATGGTCGGAACTGTGAACTAGAAAGTAAGTGAACATCCTGATATAAATGTGTAACTTATTAATGTACTGAGGTTGATTGGTTAGGACTCTGAATGGTTGTTTCAGCAGTAATGTGGTTCAACTTTTTCTGTGTGGGTTCTTGAGATACTGGTAGACTTAGCAATAACTGTGATGTTTTGAGGGAAAAGACTTTAAACCCGTCCGTCTGTTATGACTTTGTTAAACTTCAGTTATGATTTTGCCACTCTGGGTACTTAAACGATGATATTCACTCATATGTACTGAGATGATAACCATTTTATCTCCTGCATGTTCTCATTCTTTCAGATAAACTGGGAATAATCCGAATATCAAGACCACAGTTTCTTTATGATATTGAACAGTTTAATAACATCGTCGTAGAAACGTATCTCATTTTTGATGATGACATTGGCAGTAACTTCTCATTTACATATTCAACTGGAAGAATTGATTCTGTAAAGTTCAGGGGAGACGCTTCACATGTGGAAGACGATATCGATCCCACTGCGATCGAAAAGAGAATACAATCGGACCTCAAGGACAAGTTATCACTAGGTAGGTTTGTTTTATGTCACTCAGATGTGCATTTCATGAGAATATGAATGTCCTACTGAGTGTCGACAGGCAAGAAGGCTACTACGTAGTATGAATTATGATCAAAATATTTGGAGATTAAATTTAGTTGACCGTACTTAGTGTATTTAGCTGCTATTCCAGTCTGTGCATTTGAAGGGGTTCTGTTGTGGCTTTATACAGGTTATACACAAAAGAATGGTGCGGTTTCAAAAGTTTATAAAAAATTATCTCTTACATACACCATCAGCGGCGGCAACTGT